TAGGTGACCGCCTAGGGTCGCCTAGTGGAAGCGCCGGCCTTGTGCATAGCCCCATGAGGAATCCATGCATGAGGTGACTAAGGCATGTGTGATTGTTGTCAGGTTTGTAAGTAAAGAATGCTACATCCTTGCCAAGCACTGATGGGGGAAAATGTGCTCCTGGCTGGGTAACAGAGAGCAGGTATGCTTGCTCAGTTGAAGGAGCACATAGCAGCTATGCCATTTTTTCTGGTGCAGACATCATTACCTGGGTTTTAGTGGTCTGATGCTCAACCTGATGACTCTCACCCATGCACTGATCTTGGCCTGACACTGGATAAGTCGTTCAACTGCATTGACTGGATCTGATGGAACTGAGATATAGATCTGGGTATTAACTACATAGTGGAGTCATCGCTATACCCTGTGACATCTTCAAATATAAATGGTCTGGGTAGGGTGACAGAATAGAGGTTTGTGTGAGAGTGTTACCCAGGGCAGACAGTTACCTAGTACTAACCTGTAGAAACAAAACAAACAAACAAAAACCCACCCAAAACCACAGGGCACTACAAGAGGAAGTATCAAAAAGAGACGAGTGTATCAGAGGCTGGGGTCACTGCTCCAACCATAGACAGGAATTGAGGCAGTGGATGGGCTGTGTTGTACTCCTGTTGCCTGTCTGAAGATTGTGGCAAGTAGGGGTGACTTCCCAGTACCCTTGCAGTTAACTGCACAAATCCCAAGTTATTCAAGTTTTATGTGTGATGGAAATGGTGAAATTACTTATAAAATAGGGGAAAATGTATATTTACCTTTTATCTTCTCCTGAATCCAATGGTCAAAGAGGTTTTGCTCAAAACTTAAAAACTTTAAAAAAAAAAAAACAACCCAAACATTTGGGCAAAGACCGTGGTGTTTCAGAAAGAGTAAAAATAGGTTTGTAAGGGAAATGTTTTGCAATGTTAACCATAGCAGTCGCTACTGAAATGGCTGCTGCATTACTGTCTGTCTGTCTGTCTGTCTGTCTATGCTGATTAAACTCATTTTAGGGGAAGAATTAAGGGTCAGGGCTTCAAAAAGCTCAGCATGTAATCTGGCCATAAATTACATAATGGTTGTTGCAGGGTGCTGGGCATTTGTGAAAATCTCACGCTTATTTAAGTGCCTAAATAGGAACCATGCTACTTTGAAAATCTGACCCGGTCTGTTCGTTCCAACTTGTTGCAGAATAACTGTACTTTTAGTCAAAGCTATTAAGATGTCAATGCATTAGACAACTTGCAGTTTATGAAATTACCACAAACAAACATTTAATTTATTATATAGCTAAAATACAGTATTTATTACAAACATGGGTCCAATCCTGAAAACAACCCTGAGTGTGTAGAGCTTACTATCATGTCTAGTTATATTGACCTCAGTGGGCCTACTCAGCATAATAAACACAAATCTGTAGTGTTTGCTGGATTGGGCCCAAAGATTACAGTCAACAAAAGCATTTAATTGCTGAGATACTGTAAATAGTAAATGAACACAGATTAATTGTACATATACTCTTCATGTGTGGCCAGGTGCTTCAGTGTATTTAAACTGTTGCCTGTTTAAAGGATGAATGTAGAATTAGTATTACATTGCAATATGGTTTATTTTTATAGCCGTCTTCTTAAATATCAGTGGGAAAGGGTTTTAAGAAGACACTCTAATTCTGTATTTGAAGTGCAGGACTTGTAGGTTGACTGTGTTGTTAAAAATACACCACCATCAACACAACAACACTCATATTTGCCTTATCATAGTACAGTTAAACTAGGAGAAATCTCCATGACTGGAGAAAGATGAAAAAGAGTCACCCTACAGTACTGTTGCTATAACTACACATAGGAATAGCTGATGTGATTTACTGAGGAATATTGCTGCAGGAAGTTACAAAATAACATTTCAACAGAGGATACAGATGTGCATACACAAACAGCTAACAAGTGAATGGCTTCTTAACCCATTCATATACAGCTGTTTAGCACGTGTATCCAAGTTGTTGCAGTTTTTGGTTTTGAATCAGGTGAAACAATAATAAATACTAAGTCCCAAAAAAACTATTGTCAGAAAACTTCATGAAGTAAAAGTTAATGTTTCGTGCAAACCCATTCACTCTGCCAACTATGCTTGAAATATATGAATCAGGAAGACATCACCCACTGGGGAACAGTCGAGGATACACTTCCTTTTGGAGTGTCCTGTGTTTGAATTTCATGCCCTATTTTGCATAAACTCATCATGCACTGAAAAACAGTCTTGGGTGTTATGCTCTAGAAATGAGAGTTTGGCTTTGATGTGACGAAGTGCTTCTGAAGCGGTGCATAACCTCATACTCAAAGATTTAGAGTTGCTTGTAAAGGAAATGTAGAAATAGCATACCGGCAGAGCTTCCTCTTCATTTGTTTGACTGTCTCTTTCCCTGAAGGCTCCCATGTTCTGCTAGAAAAGTGTCAGAAGGGGTTTTTTCTCTTGTGTAGTGAGCTGTAGTAAACTTAGCCTAATTAAATCTTTTCACCCAAAAACCTCACACACAAATATTGAAGTGTTTTAAAAAAAGAACAACAGATCTAGGTTGTGCATTTGTGAATCAACCCTGAATAAGGGGCAGTTTGTAGCTGCACTGTTCCCGGGAGGGATCCCCTTAGTCATTGTGCCTCCTCAGTTATACTGGATGAATAATTTGTTACAGCCCTTTTAAGGGTATAATTTACTTCTTCCCCACACCTCCTGCAGTCAACCAGCGCAGAGTTATGACTCTGCTTTCTTCCGGCCTATTCCCCACCCACTTGTCTCTGAGGGGAGCAAAGTCCTATGCACTCCTGTTGTTGTTTATTAGTGTTGCGGTAGTGCTAGTAGCCCCAGTCCTAAATCAGAGCCCTGTTGTGTTGGCCATTGTGTACACACAGAAAAAAAAGATGGTCCCTGCCCCAAAACGCTTACAATCCAAGTTAGCACCTAGAGCTAAAATCCAGCTAAGTCCAGTTGTGCAATGTAGCCTATTGTGCGTATGATTTGCTGGGAGGAAGTATTCTTCTGGGAAAGAAAGCTGAGAATCCTAAAAGATTCCTTAATTCCAGTTAAACAGAATATTCAGTTCCTCTGAAAAATAAGAATGAAGGACGGAGATAATATGAAATACAGCATGAAATACAATGTAATGGGCATTAAAGATAGGGCACATTGTAATCCATGAGTGTGGAGCCTCTTCTAAGATGTATTGTAGCTTCCTGCACAACGCTTTGAATAACCTACTATCATATGAAATATTGTAAAATCAGAAAATGTTGTGTGTGTATAGCAAGTACTTCTAACAAGAGCTAGTTGGAGAAGTTCTGATGAAAAAATTCTCACTGGAATTTGCACAATTGTCTAAAGTGAAATGTTTCACAGAGGTAGTATGATTTCAGCAAAGCTCTGATAAGGGCCACATCCCAGGCAAGTGTTCTGAGCTGTAGAGTTTTCTCTCTCTCTCTCTCGCTCTCACTCTCACTGTCTCATGTTGAAGCTCTTCTACTTTGTATGTACAAATATTCATGGGTCTGAGAGAGAGAGACTGACTCTCTAGCCTGGTGTTCACAGCTCTACCTGATCTGGAGCAGAAATTTGAACCAGGGTCTCCCACATCTCAGGTGAGTGCCCTCACCACCTGACAGTTGGCTATTCTCGGGTGGGTGTCTCCTTTTGACCTGAGAAACCTTCTTGACTAAAGCTTAATTGAAGCCAATGGTTTCATGAAAAGCTTTGGTTTCAATGAATCAGCATTTTCTGATGAAAGAAGTTTTGTCGAACATTTCTCAACCAGCCATACTTACTAGCTATGGAGGTTTTTTTAGCTGCAGTGTGTGCAGTGAGTTGATAACTACTGTGTGTGTTTTAGCACATCGTTTTTCTCTTTAAACATTGCATTGCTGTTCTGTTGTGGGTGATGAGGTCTTAATTTGCAGTTTTATTATCAGGCTAGTATACTAATTATTTGTGGAGGGTTATGTCCAACCAACGCCAGGTTTATAGAATGTGGCATTCCTAGAAATATATTAAATATATTTCCTCTGATATGCAAGGCTTAGCTTAATATGGACTAGACAATCAGCCCAATTCAGTCCTGGTGTAACTGGGTGCCGCTCTTATGGCTTCAGTGGAGTTGCGGGCATTTACATTGGGTCTCATTTGACTCAATTTTTCTGGAAAACAATAATTGCTAGCCTTACAGTCAACAGTCAGTGCTCAAAGTGGGAGAACTTGTGTGACAGAGCAAATCTAAACTGGTGGGCAGACCACAAGGTGGCCTTGTATTGCAGATGACTGCAGAATAATTCCACACATACTATCAAATTAACTCTCCCTCTTTCCCCTGTATCCTTCTCTTTCTTGATGTATGTTCTTGAGCACCCTCCTTAAAATGAAACTCTAAGAACGTTTTCATTTTCTAGAGATGAGCTGGGACTTGCTTCCTGTCTGCTGCCAACTTCTTTAGCAGAAACACAAGAATGATTTGTCTTATGGCTCCCTCTTCTGGTCAGTTGGTGGAATAGCTGGAATTAATATTCTTTTCTTTCTTGGTGGCTAAAAAACAGCCTTCTCATGGCGGTCTTCAGGATAACATCTAGTAAACATTTCATTCGTGTCTAAATGCAAATTGAACCTGCTAGTTATGGATTTAAAAATATTATTTTATTGTTACTCTGAAATCTATTTAAATTGTTTAAACTTACTAACTCTTTATCAAGAGCCCATTTCTCCACTTGCCCCTCCCTCCCCCCCGACCCTCCAAAAGTGCTAAAGACCTACTCTTGGGAGCTGCTGAGACCTTGGGAGTTGAGGGTATGCAGCACTTTGTAGGGCCAGATCCGGAGTGCTTACTATCTGTGGTGTATGATGCAAATTAAGCAGGATCTCATTACAGAATTGAAAAATAGAGTACAAAGTATGATATAGTTTCTGTTCCACAACTAAACAAATATTTCTGTTCCCTTTTTCTGCAGGTCATAGAAACACTATCAAAACTTTCTCGCACTTCTGTGGCATTAGCAACAGGAATAAGGTATGACATTAGTGCTACTAAACTTCCATTTTATCATTTATAAAACAAGTACTGTAACATTTTCCATGATATACTATTAAAAGAAATATGATCTCAGTTGCACTGTTTTAGCCTTCTTTTTTCTGTGCTTCTAATTGTATATAGAGGTCCATTCTTGTCTAGAGTAGCACTACCAGTAGTTCTGACGTTAAAACTCTACATGTTTAAATGAAATTCTTATCACATAGCCCGCAAATCGGAGCTCCCTCATGCTGAATCTCCAGTGTGTTAATTCACGCTACTGTGCAATGTGCAGTGAGATTTTACATTTTCCAGAATTAAGAGTTGAAGGTGCCTCCTTCCCTTCCCCTGTCATCACCCGGAAATTTGTTTCTACCTTTTTTGTGAGTTTGTCTGAATTCTCTATATTTAGAAGTAAACAGCTATGTTAAGGAACAGCCATTTGTGCTGTTGTTGTATCTAAAGACCGATATCTATTTTTGTATAAAACACTTGCTTTCAAGAGTTTATAATTTGTCTATTCAAATTCACTTTGGAATGGAAATAGCAGCTTAAGTCTCACTCCCAGCTTTTTAAACCATATTTGAAATATATATTTGGCTCTTTATAAATAGTTGTAGATAAAACAAAAAATAAGTTATTAAAACATTATTTCTTTTGCATGCAAACAACTTAAAATTTGAAATTGATCAAATGGCTTGTCTATAATATATAGTCCAGTTGCTCTTAATATTTTGACAAAAATATTTGTTTTAAAACAATATAACTTGTGACAAATAACTTTTTCTAAGAAATTGTATTGGGTTTCTATTGATAACCTGTTGTATGTGTGTACTCAGTTATACAGCATAAAGGAATTGTTGTGCATGTTTTAAGTATGTTATAATGAGACTTCCTCACAAGGTATTTACATATGTTGTGAACTAATACTCCTGCGTAGGGCTCAAAAATGGCACTCACCAGTGGCTATTGAGATGCTTTCTCTTACAGTATTTGGGACCTACCTCATTAGTTTAAAAAATATTAAAGCCCTCTTTCAAATAATAATAAACATATTTACAAGAATTATGGCTGTGAAGATAACCTTCCAAATGTCAGCTGAATGTAAACCAAATTCAGATGTTTTCCTGAGCCAGTAGGCAGCTCCCAGTGCCTCTGGTGCAGCTGACAGATTTCTCAAGCAGCAGCAGAGCAAAATTTACAAGGTTCTACTCAATTTTCATTACTGCTCTTTGGAACCATATGGGCAGTAGTTAAAATATCAAGAATATCAATTTCATGCTACTGCTTGGGAAAGCTGTAAATGACAACAAAGGCAAGCCTAGAGTTTTTAATGCCTGGGGAGGATCAGAAAAAGGAGAGCCTGGGGAAGAGACCTCCTCCTCCCGCACTCGCAATAGCTGGAGAGTAATGAATGGGGAAAAGAGACAGAAATCTCCATTTCCTTTCCAGCATCTTAGGGGGTGAGAAAGAGAGTATGGAGTTTCATGTTCATCTGATACCTGTGAGTCAGAACTTGACACAAAGGACGGAGCCCTCAAACACATGACATTCTGGTAGAAATCCCTCTTCCTAGCATTAGGCACAACATGGCTGTGCTTCTCACCAGCTCATTCCCATCTCAAGGCCACTTTCTGGTGGGGCCCTCACCTTACATCCTTTTCTTTAATGCTCTAACTATAAACTTACGAACTACAGGATAGTTAAGCTCTGGAATAGGCTTCTAAGGGAGGCTGTGGACTCCCCATCTTTGTATGTTTTTAAGAACAAGTGGGACAAACACTTGATCCTGCCTCAGTGCAGGGAGCTGGGCTTGATGACCTCTCAAGGTCTCTTCTATGATTCTGTCTCTGTCTGGTTAGTAGGCAAGCTAATAGGTGTCTGGTGAATTTTCAACATTTATCTGCTCCTGGTATTCAACACACTGGGACAGTTTGCCTTCTCCCAATGTACATTCTCCTACCCACCTCACCTGTAAAACTGAAAGAGCATGGAGAAAGAGAAGGGAAAGCAAGAAATACAGGGCATCCCCTAAGGCAAAAGAAATTTCCTCCATTAACTCAGACATTATTAGGCACCTCATGGATGATGACCTGGGTTCCCTCGTTGGACAAGTAACCAAGGATCTCTGAACCTTGAACACTCTGTGGAGCCTATTAGGGCATTTTCTGCCTCTCCTTTTGGTATGTTTGCTGATGAGCATTAGGCCTTCCACGTGGTGCTAAGGCAGAAGATGAACTGGTGAATGGCCAAAATTACAGAAACACAGTTTACGGTGGGGAAATAATTATATAGTAAGGGTCAAAAACTGCCTTATAATGCACACAGATGGCTCCCATAGATGTCAGTGATACGAGCCTCCTGTGTACATAGCCCACTGCCTATTGTTTCAGCCCTGTAGCAACAATGCAGGAAACAGACAGGTGAGAGCTCTGCTGCTGTCCTGCCTCATTCTCTGCAAAGGTAGCAGGAGCAGCAGTGTTGTGCAGATTCCTCTTAACACTCTGTGTAAGTGTTTGCCGCGGGGGCACGGAGGATCTCACCGGCCCATGCACTGCAGAACACTCTCCAGCAACAGGATTTTTTTCTTCCTTTTTCTTCAGGGCTTCACTTTTATTTCTTCAAACCAAAATTGTTGAACTTGTGTTATACAATCAACCATCTCCTTTCCACCTGGGGGTCTTCTACAAAGGCCTATCTGCTCCCTGTAGGATTGCGCTTCACAGGACATCTGCTTAGAGTCTGGGCGAACCCCCTGACTCCCTTCTCCATCTTAGCCTGCTCCCTACAGATTTATGCTCTACATGCTGTCTTCCTCAGAGTCATACGTATCAAACTGGGTTCTTTTCCTTGATCCAGGGACTCCTGCAGTTCTCAACTCAACTACTTGCTGGCTTTTACAAGGACCAGGTGATGTTCCAAGTTATCACCTGAACCCTGATCTCACAGCCTCAGCTGGAAGGCAGCTGATTAATCACAGGTGAGGCTGGGCCCAACTCCCCTAAAAGGCCAGCCACCCTGTGCCCGACAGTAAGCTTCAAAGCCCCTCTGCTCGCCCCCTCCTAAAATTAGAATGGCATTTGGATGCTCCCACTTTGACAAACTAGGAGCCATAATTATACCTTCTCTCACCTTCCCATGCAGCCCACACTTTGACTTGGTCACTTTCAAGCTTTTCAGATTCAATTCTCGATCATCACATTCACCCACCCAAAATATCAGAAGTCAAGGCTTTAAAAATAAATGAACAAAAAATCCTTTGAAAATCATGGAATTTAGACTTAATTGTAAATACAGAGTAGTTAACACTTGCTTTTAAAATCTCTGATTTATATTCATGATTACATGTAACAGTTCCATCCTGTATGTGTGGCAATTTTTTTTTAATTGTTAACTCATATAAACCACAATATCAAGGGAGAGAGAGAGAGACACACACAGATTGACAGACATATTAATCCAAATTGAAATTTCAGCAGCATACCACCCAAACTGAACACCCAGGCTGGTTCTGTCTTTGATTAATACTGTTGTCTTTTGTCTCTCTAGGCCATTCCCCACAGAAGAAAGTGTTGATGATGAAGATATCTACAAAGGCCTTCCTGATTTACTAGAGTATGTTGTAAATCTTTAAGCAGAATGAAAGCTTTTAGTTTTCTGATATGTAACTATTATTTAAATGACGTGATGAAATACACTGTTCTAAAATAAGTTATTTTATCTGATTGACTAAGGATTGATTAGAAAGGAAGAATTAATTGTCCAGAAAAAAGCACCTTAGTTTAATGATTGATTTTCATACATATGAAAATAAGATTTCATGAGGGGGTCTGGTGATGAATTGAAGTATCAGTGCACTCTCTAGAATTATTTGTTTGTATCATCAGAATGCTTACGTTAAATGACAGCATCAGTGAATGCTTTTCCCTGATCCTGCAGATAATTATGTGTATATGTATTTTTATTCATGTAAGTAGTCCCACAGAATCCAATGGAACTCGTCACTTGAGTAAATTTCCACATGCAGTTAAGGGTTTGCAGGATGCTTGCTGTTTTGGGCAGAGTCCATTGCTGTACAAGGGAAAGTCAAAAGAAAAAGGGTTTATATTTTAGCCATCCCGCTTCTTCTGTTTGAGTAGCAGAGCAGGCTATAACAGACCTTGACATTCTCTCACTTTACAATGACTAAAATCTTGTGAAAAATCCAAATGACATGTATAAATTTAGCAGTTAAAATCCCCGAGTCTAACAATTTACAATGCAGAAAATCATACAGCTCTGCCAAAATTTGTATCTATAGCAATATTATTAAACACAAAATCTTAATACAAAGGGATAGAAATATGATTTCAGCAAGAACAAGAAGTTTGGTATGACATACAAAAGTTACCATTTAAGATTTATAGTTTTTTGCAATATGTGCATCAGCATTAAAAATACACCTCTACCCCGATATAACGTGACCCAATATAACACGAATTCGAATATAACGCAGTAAAGCAGTGCTCTGGAGGGGGTAAGGGGGGGCTGCTCACTCCGGCGTATCAAAGCAAGTTCGATATAACGTGGTTTCACCTATAACACGGTAAGATTTTTTTGGCTCCCGAGGACAGTGTTATATCGGGGTAGAGGTGTATAGTTCCTAAATATGCTTCTAAAATAGAAATCTATTACAGTATTAGGTGCAATAGCCTCTATTTTGATGCACTGTTATAGGATTCACATGTAAAAATTTACAATGGATTTATTTCGGATTGGTTATTATGTCAGGTAGCATGTACCATATACTGGATTATAATAGTTAGATGCTCTCTAAAATATAGATCTGAAACAATTGGAAGAAGTATGTATTTCATAAGAAATATAAATAGTTCGAGAGAGCTGGGGTTTCTCCCTAACTAGTGAAGTTTATTTTACAAGAATAATTCCACCTTAATGATCTCTCTCTCTGGGTCCAAATGGTGTTGGAGGAACTGACAGTCCCATTTAGTACATGGGGATTCACTCGTTTTAGGATAGATTTTAATTTGACCTGACGCTGAGGCCCATCTGTAACTTAGGTAGCAAGAACTCGGTGCCCCATTTTCTCCTTAGAAACCTTACTACAAGTCCTGTCATGGTTCGAAACTTAATTCTTTTTCTTCAAACTTGTGTTAATTTTATAAAGTCAGATTTTAAATGTGTTGAGGTTAAAAAAAAAAATCTTATTGATTGTATAGTCCCTTTGTGGTTTAGTTCAGTTTGAGAGTTCTTTTTCATTCATCTGTTTTAGATTTACTGTAAAAACCCAGACACTTGGTAAATTCTGTTTCCTAGTGTTGACTCTATAATCCCTGTTCAATACACTGATCCTTTATGTTGTTGCTTTTCCTTTTTTTCTTTTAGTGAAAGTGGTGGCGATGAGGATGAAGAGTTATATGATTGTGTCTATGGAGAAGATGAAGGTGGGGAAGTATATGAAGACTTAATGAAAGATGAAGCAGCACATCAACCTGTATGATTTCTATTTTTTGAGTGACTACAGACATATTCATAAAGAAATAGTGGTAGTGTGAAAGTAAAATTTTTACTAACATTCATTAAATAACTGTTAGCTGTTTTCACTAACACTGTAAGTAATTTTTTTAAATTTAGATATTTCAAATTTGCTTTGTTGTTATGGTTGAGTTCACATTTGTGTACAGTAACCATGTAACATATGCAGTGGATCATAACATCATCATCCTGCTATGAAAGCCAACATTCTCTTACATATAAAGGGTCAAAGATTCACTCTGGTAATTCTTTCTGTGAAAGAAATACTAACATTATTTCAACAGTAAAAAGAGAACATTAAAATAAATTGTTATTTAGTTAAGATCCAGTTAGGTATGGATATTAAGATTTGTTAGCTACTTGAGTTAAGACCATTTGAAAAAATACTCAAAAGAATGCTACTTAAGAAAAGAGAAAAGAAAAGTGTTCCCCATATAATTTTGGCCATTTTGCAACATTAGTCATGAACTAGTTAAATAGAGAGCTAACATGTATATTGTACATGTAGATATACATGTGTGTCAGTTTTACAAAACTGCCATGAAAATTTACATGCCCATGCACAAAATTTAGTCAATAGCTATATTTAATGGACTGGTAATTGGGAGGGGTGTGATGTCAAAACCTGTTCTAATAACTTACTATCCATCTCTTTACAAGCATTCATTTGGCTTACCTGCAAAACTTTAGTGTGCTATTGTGATGACACACAATTTTCAAGGAAGTTGCGTGTTTTAAGGTGGAAGCTCACCATCTACATTTTCAGATTGAATTCCAGTGATATAGTAACTTGGAGAAGTGAGAAAATGAAAAGGTCTGAAGGTTGTTTTCCTGTGTTCTGCTGCTATAAAAGCAGCAAGTTGTAGGTATCTTGTGTGGTTCATACAATGTGTTTTTGTTGTGATCCTGAGAATTTACCATTATGTCGTGAGAAGACTATTTCCTTGGAAAGATTTTTTGACTTGTTTCAATATGATTCATGTAAGTCTAGACTCTGCCAATTACTATGCATCTTAATGACAATTTAAGAGCATCATCACTTTTTCTAACACATTTTTATACTAAGCACATTTTACTTTAAGGTACTGATGTGATGCAAGTTTCTGAAAGTAAAATAAGTGATGTGTAAAATATTGTGAAACTTGGGAGCTTCAGTTTGTAGTGGTTTATGTTTTGTTTAGATTTGATCAATTCCTGAGGTTTGAGTTTTGGGGTAACCTATACCAAAACTCAGTTAAAAGTACAAGTTTTGCATGATTTCAATATATAACCATAAGTCAGATCAAGCAATTGGGCCCAGTTGTTTGCTTGAAATATGTGTGAACTATAGTGGATCTTTCGATGATCTTAGTCTGAGTTTGCAATGAAACTCAGAACCATGTGAATTTCAGGTATCATTATGGATATTTCTCCCAGTCCTAGCAGTTGATGACGCCTGACATTTTTTCCACTTTGCAAACTCTCTGTTTCTTTCTTGCCTATTACAAATGAAATACCATCGGGTATGCAGCTTTAGTGGACATAACTGGGTGAGTTTAGGAGGGAATGGCAGCCGTAGTCTGAATTTGCTTGTGGGAAGAAAAAATAATACTAAAGATCTAAAAATGTTTAATATTAATTTCCTAATTAAAAAGAATAGTAGATTAAAACATGCTGCATTATGTCTACATATTTTTATATCTGATATGGTAAGAATGGATGTATTATGTTTGTTTCATTGGCATTGTATATCTTTGTTGGATTTGATGACTGTCTTAGTATGCAATCATTTATTATTAGATTTGCAAATGTGATGCACAGTAACATTACACATTGGCACAATTCTTTCATTTGAGTCCTTTAAATGAAATTCACTAGCATAGAGGACTTAGAGGTGACTTGCAATTGCAAATCAATTTTAAAAGAATGAAACTGCTTTAGAAATGTGTGTTTGGTGTTCTAAATAGTTAGAGAAGAATAAGTATCAGTTTAAAACGATACCTTCCTTTTTTATTTGATGTGACTGCCTCACAATGTAAACTAAGGTACCTAAGTTTCCTGTGCCAGCAGACTGCTGCCACAGAACAATTTTTTCAGTGTACTGAGCAGACTATTGTTGTTTTTTTCCCCACCCTTTTTAGTCCCTTTGACCATTGTCATTACTTCCTGCATTCAAATTCCAAGATATTGTAGCATCTGCTATAGATGGCAAATTGATGTGTTAAATAGTAACACTCACAAAAAGAGCCCGCTTGGGCAACCCTAATTTGTGTTGTGTGAGCACTAACAGACAAGATCAGTCCTGTTGACTCAGGCTCTTCATTGGGGCTGCTCTCATGAACTAGTGCTCAGCAACATAAATAAGGGTTGGTCCCAAGCTATACAAACCGCTTTTGGAAATGTACTACAGTGCATACACGTTTTATTTACAAAATAGCTCACAAAGAAGAGATTAAAGATAGACTCCAATCAAAATAATAATTTGAAACCCAAAAACTTGTTTAAAAGGAACTGACATGGGTAAAGTGTGACACTCCCTCCAATACAAACCTTTGATAGCAAGGAAATACCACGTTTGGGGACAGCTCTTAATCATAACTTAATGTCCATACACCAGGTTGCCACTGACTGTGACAGACTCTGCATCCTCACAGAGAACTTCATTCTGCCTCAAACTGATAAGGAAATGCACCAAACACAGCATCTTCCCCACACTATCTAAATTTTTCTCACTAGGCTGAAGGAAATAGGTTTGAAGGAGGGATTTGCAGGAAGAGAATGAAGTGGTTTAGTGTGTGGGAGGGAGGAGGCAGATGTAGGGAACTACTTGAAAGAAGGCGTGGAGTGATAGGCAGGGGGAAAAATACACAGACGACATGAAGGGGTTGGGGAATAGTAGTGTGACTTTTTGTGTCTGAGTGAGTGTCATTGCTCTTTAGTAACTAGACTATGGAGTGGATGTAGACTTTCTACTATGATCAACAGCTATAGGAGTCTTCCTTTAGCTCAAGGGTTAGAGGCTAGTGTGCTTTTTTTAAGCTAAAGTCTCAGGGTTCTAGACCTGACTTTCTCTTTGTGAAACAAATATATCTAGTAATTGTCTTTGTCTGCTGCACATGGATTCATTACAGTAGGCAATGAGCTGAGATACAGGCAGGGCAACAGTCATGAAAATCCTTGGAGATGTGAATGAGGAGCTTGGATAGAATTTGGAAGGAAACAGGGAACAGGTGGGAAGACTTTAGGGGAGACAAGTTACATTATTATTGTTTTATTATTTGCTGAGGTTTTTTGGGTGTGGAGAATCCAATCATGACAAAGACATGCACGATAAATGTCCATGCAGGAGCAATCCAGGAATTGTGTCCAGTCCCCAAGCTAGCCAACACCTGCCCAAATGTTTCTTTAAGAATCTTTCGAAACACATTATTTCATATTTGTCTGTATCCTGGAAAAAGAACTTTGATACCTTGGAATTCTGAACTCCAGCGCATGCATTTTGTGCTCAGCCTTAATAAGCCCGATGTTGCATTGGGCCCATGATGTTCAAATCTAACACGATCACCAGCTTCTGCTCTGTGTGATGCCCCAACATGCACTATATTGCTGATCTCACACCTGCAGGAAACTGAAGCAGGCCTGTTAGGGTAAGGCAATCCCAGAGTCCTGTAAAGAACAACAACAACAACAAAATACAAAGATTGCAGGATAGAGCCCTAAGATCCAGCTACTGTCCTTGACTCAGAACAGATTATGAATATGGGCCTAAATGCAAGTCCCTTTCAAGGAAAAGGTAAAAGGAAAAATTATAAACAAACACAAAGAGTTAGATGCGAGCCCATTACTCACAGCAGTTACTGGCATGAGAGTCTCATTGATTTTAACTATTATGAGTAACTTCTCACTGTTGTGAATAAAGGCCCAAATTAAATAAATATGGATCTATATTTCATCTTAATCTCATTATATTATTTTTAAAAGTATATAAGAAGGATTAAGTTATTGTTTACCTTAAAATATAACATACTGAATGCCAAATTTTATCAAAGTTCAAGGACTACTAAAATTCTAGAAGTTGTCAGCTAATTGCACTTTTAAAAACTATTCCCTTTGTAGTTGTTACAATCTTTTGAAGCTGCAATACTGAGAAATTTCCAACAAGCAATGTGTCTTAGTAGCCAATCAGTAAACAAATAAGAGTTTGTTGTACAAGAGGTGTCCACAAATGATTTAAACTTAACTTGCTTCTAATTGCAGAAATGTACTGAAAATGACATAAGAAGCTGTTGCCTTACTGAAATAAAACAGACTGAAGAGAAATACACTGAGACTTTGGAGTCAATAGAGAAAGTAAGCCACTGAACTTTATGCTAATAGAATAGTTATTTATATAGTAATAATGTAATTGTATAATGGAATAGAGAATATATTAATCCAGTCAATGTTTACTTTTCTTAACAGTTTTTCATGGTGCCATTGAAAAGGTTTCTGTCAGCATCAGAGTTTGATATAGTGTTCATCAACATTCCTGTAAGTAATCGTATACTTAAAGAAAAAGGCAGAGAATTTGTGTCTGGTTATCATTTTGTGCAGTCACATGCCATTGAACAAAGTGATGACTTGAAATGTGATGTGCAAATTCCCCTCAAAGCTTTTTTGAATATGCAGTAGGATACTGTACATCTTAGTGAAAATGATTTTAGACCTTATCTTTTTATAGTTACTGTGAGGGAAAAAATGTTGCATACAGCCACAGTAGATTGTCAGCAATAGTATGGACCAGATATTCCACTGGTATACATTGGAGTATATTTGTTGATTTATACCGACTGAGGATCTGGCACTATAACCATACAGTAACTCTTAGAAGATCTGTTATATGCAAGTATTTTATTGATTGAATTTAAGTTAGACATTAACCATGTATGAATTTCCTCACATCCTTCTATGCGTAATAGAGAAACATAGATCATATTTTGTGTAGATAAGATGGAAAACCTCTCTTCAGAAATTTACAAAGCACATGACCATCATCAGCCTTATACTTGAGCGTTGAATCAGTGTAGAGAATGTTTACACAGTACTTTGATTTGCAGGAATGCTTCTGAAGAGACTTTATAGCAAGCTTGCAGATTCTCACTCATATCTGCCCTCGATGTGTTGTCACTGAAGACATTTAAAAATCAATATAGCTTACAGCCTTATACTCAGAATTTGACAGGGAAAGTTGTAAAAAAAAAAAAAAAAAAAAAAAAAATTCTGTAATCTAAGAAACTTCCTATTGAGTTGAAATGTGTTGAGGTTACCTGTGTGAACTCCATATGCTTTGGGAAATCACATTTACTTTTGGAGACTTTGCAATCCAGCATACTCACAAAAAAGGTGCAATTCATACTTTTTTAAGTTGGTGCTGATAACTTACAGTTGCAGGAATTTAGTAACTGTCTTAGGCCTGATCTATGGTCTGCTCTACATTACACAGTTACTTCGATGTAAGTCACCTTGTGGGGACCTATGTGTGCATGTGTCTACACTTGAATTTGTCTCTGGCCAATGTAAGCATCCTGTTTTAAGGAGGAAGTAAAACCACCTCCCCAATTGGTGTAGAACCATGGTTGCCTGACTGAGGTCGATACAGTGCGAGTATAGGAACCTTTGTTGAACCTGGAGGTCCTCTAGCAGCTGTCTCATAATGCCCCATTCCCTGCGACAGTGATCGCTTTGGCCACAATTTTAAACTCCATTGCCCAGGAGTCAGAGAGACCAGAAGCCTCCCTGCCCCCTTTAAAGCCGCCTGTGTGTTTTTTGGAATGCCTTTCTCGGATTGCCCACCTTGGTAAGCATACCTAGTAGCTCACCCTTCTTGCGTGCAACTGCCTAACTGACCACTCTGGCTCCACATATTAAATGCACCGCTGCCTGGAGTAGACAGGAAGTATTGGATCTCCTGGATCTGTGGGGAGAAGAGACTGTGCAAGCATTGCTATGGACCAGCCACAGAAATGTGGACATCTACAAGTAGATTGCATGAGGGATGCAGACAAAGGGGTATGACAGGGACCAGCAGCAATACTGCATGAAACTTAAGGAATTTTGCCAGGGAGGCCACAAACCCAGGGAGGCCAACAGTAGATCTGAAGCTGTGCCACAGACCTGCCGCTTCTACCAGGAACTGCATGTCATAGTTGGTGAAGACTCCACAGACTACTGTGGTTCCTCAGAGGAGTGTGAGAGACAGACCCCTGCCATGAACAGTGAGGAGGAGGAGTATGGAGTGCAGGGAGGAGAGTCCAGCCTTACTGCAAATCAGGACCTGTTTAAGACTCCTCCACAGTGTAGCCAGTCCTGCCAGGTGAACGTGAATGAGCCAAATGAAGGGGAAGGGAATTTGAGTAAGTTTGTGCATGCATTTTTCCTTACAATGTTTACCCTTAAAGATGGTGCCTGGCCCATCCCCAAGTGAACAAGAAAAAGGCATTGACTATTCACTGTTTTACTCATACAAGAAGTGATAGAGGTACTACAAACAGTGGTAGAATTGGCATGTGCTTTCATTCCCCCATGGATTAAGTGGGGCCATGTGGAGCACTTTGTTTACATGTCTAGGGATGTGCCTTTTATCCTTCTGAGCGATCTCAATACAAATTCCATGAAGATACTCTGCAATCCTTTCCTCAGGTTTTTAGGGATGGCTGTCTTCTTTCTTCCTCCATGGCAGGACACTTTCCAATGCCACTCTGCGATGAATTCAGCTGGCACCTTTACAGTCAACAGGCTTGAGGTGTACGGGCCTGGGTGGCTTCGGGATGCCAGTCACAGCTGTGTTCTCTGTGCCTTTGTCACCTTCAGGAGTGAGATATCAGCTAAAATCACCACCACCTGTGAAAAATAGTGCCAATATTCAGTGCCATTGCTCTATAGCTGTAACCATGGAAATAGAGACTGAAATTTTATAGCTTCATGCAATAGAAAATCCTCCCCCCGCCACCACCTTTAGCAGGCCATACTCCGTTTGTGCTGACGTGACCCAAAGCTTAAGTGTTAAAAGTGTCCATAGGAATAAGGGTAGGGAGTTTTGAAACATATGGTTCCCTTTCTGTTGTGACTGTAAATCCAGTGGTACCTGCCCATTTTTATCAGCAGCTTCTGGGCATGGTGGCCTTGAGAGGGTGCCCCTTCCACACCTGCAGAACACCTAACCCTGATGAGGAGGAGAAAGAAGAGGAAATGTTGCATTGGACCATGAAGAAAGGACTTGCGGGGTCAATATGACCAACAGAATGGGAATTGACAGGCAGAAAACCAAATGCTGCAGATCTTGGTTAACCTATATGTCCACCCTTTTCAGTCTTGGAGAACTCCACAGTCACTGCTTCCTACACTCCCAAACATACCACATGGCATCACGGAGTGCATCAATATCCTTACCACTCCATGCCAGAGAACAGCTAGGAAAACCACAGCTTCACATACACAGATTGTGGATCACAGTCTTTTTATTTGTAGCCACAGTGGTCTATATCTGTGCACTCAAATGGACATAAATATTTAAATCCTTTCTAATTTTAAATTATCACCCTGTTAAGTTATGTTAAACATTTGTGTAATGTTGCCTGTAGTTATTTTTGCACATTGACTTTCTGCACAGTTTTTCCACCACTCAGTAAAGTTCAGTTTGTGGAGAATGAAATTTATCTTTCTTAGTTCACAACAAATATTGCAGAATGCATAGAGATAGTCAAAGCAAACTGTAATTGTAAATACACATCTAACACCACAGTATTCATAATTTCAGGAAAATACCTAGTCGTGTTTATAATTGTACAGCAAATGCTATACAATTCTTAACAGCACCAAAGCTCCAGGCCCAGAGAACACTGCTGTGGCTGACTGTTAAAATGCTCTTTCAAAGCCTCCCTCACCCATATAGCTTTGTGTTGCTAAGAATTGTATCCACTTCTGCCCTCTACCCTGGTGGCAGCTTTGCCTCACTAATATTATGCAGGACACAGCAAGCAGCTATAACCATTGGGATATTTTTCTTACTGAGATCCAATCTAATGAGTAAATATTACCAGTGCCCCTTCAATCTAGAAAAAGCATGTTCAACTGTAACTTTGCATCTGCGGAGCCAATAGTTAATCTTTCCTGGCGGTATTGAGGTGGACAGTGTATGACTTCATGAGCCAGAGGTGCAAAGGGTAGGCTGAGTCCCCCAGAATCACTATCAGCATTTCAACTTCGGCAATGGTAATCTGCCAGCAGGGAAAGAATGTCCCTGCTTGCAGCTCTCTGAACAGTCCTGTGTTCTTAAAGATGCGAGCATCGTGCACCTTCCTTGGCCACTGGTGATCCATCAATGTTTGCATAACCAGAGAAAAATAGCGCTTTCTGTTGATGTATTCTGTAGCAAGGTGAGCTCATGCCAAAATAGGGATAAGCATGCTGTCTATCGCCCCAATGCAGTTTGGGAACCCCATTGCTGCAGATTCATCCACTATTTCCTGCAGGTTGCTGAGAGTCACAGTCCTGCACAGCAGATGATTAATGGTCCTACAGACTTGTATGACAATGGCCTCTCACTATAGATTTCCCAATTCCAAAATGATTTCTTCACTGACTGGTAGCAATCTGGCATTGCAGCTTCCAAATTTTGATCACCACTCAATTCTCCACTGAGGGGTGAGCTCAGCACACAGATCCAGTGATGTGGGCTTTTGCATCTAAAAGGTCTGCAGCTACTGTTCCTCATCCTAAACCTGCTTTATGATGTGATCCCACCAGTCAGTGCTTGTTTCCTGGGCCCAGAGGTGGCGCTCTACCATCTGTAGCTGCTCTATGAATACCAACAATAACCTTGAATTGTTTTTCATTATGCCCCTCAGCGAACTGTCCTTGAAGAAATCCTCATGTCGCCCCATTGTTGTGGTACTTCCTGCAGGCCTGCAAAGACAGGAGAATCATGCATCCTGTAGAGGGCAGACACTGAAAAGTGCTAAAGAATCATAGAATATCAGAGCTGGAAGGGACCTCAGGAGGTGATCTAGTCCAACCCCCTGCTCAAAGTAAGACCAATCCCCAACTAAATCATTCCAGCCAGAGCTTCATCAAGCCTGACCTTAAAAACCTCTAAGGAAGGAGATTCCACCACCTCCCTAGGTTACCCATTCCAGTGCTTCACCGCCCTCCTCGTGAAAAGTTTTTCCTAATATCCAACCTAAACCTCCCGCACTGCAATTTGAGACCCTTACTCCTTGTTCTGTCATGTGGTACCATTGAGAACAGTCTAGATCCATCCTCTTTGGAACCCCCTTTCAGATAGTTGAAAGCAGCTATCAAATCCCCCCTCATTCTTCTCTTCTGCAGACTAAACAATCCCAGTTCCCTCAGCCTCTCCTCATAAGTCATGTGCTCCAGCCCCCTAATCATTTTTGTTGCCCTCCGCTGGACTCTTTCCAATTTTTCCGCATCCTTCTTGTAGTGTGGGGCCCAAAACTGGACACAGTACTCCAGATGAGGCCTCACCAATGCCGAATAGAGGGGAATGATCACGTCCCTCAATCTGCTGGCAATGCCCCTACTTATACAGCCCAAAATGCCAATAGCCTTCTTGGCAACAAGGGCACACTGTTGACTCATATCCAGCTTCTCGTCCACTGTAACCCCTAGGTCCTTTTCTGCAGAACTGCTGCCTAGCCATTCGGTCCCTAGTCTGTAGCAGTGCATGGGATTCTTCCGTCCTAAGTGCAGGACTCTACACTTGTCCTTGTTGAACCTCATCAGATTTCTTTTGGCCCATTCCTCTAATTTGTCTAGGTCCCTCTGTATCCTGTCCCTATCCTCCAGCGTATCTCCCACTCCTCCCAGTTTAGTGTCATCTGCAAACTTGCTGAGGGTGCAGTCCACGCCATCCTCCAGATCATCAATGAAGATATTGAACAAAACCGGCCCCAGAACCAACCCTTGGGGCACTCCTCTTTATACCGGCTGCCAACTAGACATGGAGTCATTGATCACTACCCTTGGAGCCCGACGATCTAGCCAGCTTTCTATCCACCTTATAGTCCATTCATCCAGCCCATACTTCTTTAACTTGCCGGCAAGAATACTGTGGGAGAGCGTATCAAAAGCTTTGCTAAAGCCAGTTATCTCATCATAGAAGGCAATTAGGTTAGTCAGGCATGACCTGCCTTTGGTGAATCCATGCTGACTGTTCCTGATCACTTTCCTCTCCTCTAAGTGCATCGGAACTGATTCCTTGAGGACCTGCTCCATGATTTTTCCAGGGACTGAGGTGAGGCTGACTGGCCTGTAGTTCCCCGGATCCTCCTCCTTCACAGGTTTGGGGGATTTTTTAAAAAGGCACAACAATTTTGGGGTATTGCTGGATGGAGAAAGTTACATCATGAGAACTTTACCTCTAGCTCCAGAGATCCCTGGGAAAGTCATTTCTTTCCCACAACACATTGTGAATGTTTCCCAAAAGGCATTGTGCCGGACGGTGGCATGTGGCACTTTGGGATACAGACTTGTGATGCACCGCACTTTACATCGACACAAGCACACCTAATGAGTACGCATAGCACTTACGTGAGCAGCCAAATATGCACATGAGTGATGTACTAGCTTCAGTGGCTGTTCACTAATGTAACTTGCGTCAAACACAGTTTGTGTGTAGACATGGTCTAACAGTATTTCTTGAGTCCTTTAAGGAAAATAATGGGCCACTTCACCATGATTGGTCCCTTGAAATATGTGTTTACTATTTAGACTAAACTATCTGCTCCACCGTGTATTTAGCTGTTACATTCTGAGTACGTTTCCAAGACCTGAAGAAGAGCTCTGTGTAAGCATGAAAGCTTGTCTCACTCACCAACAGAAGTTGGTACAATAAAAGATATTACTTCACCCACCTTGTTTCTCTGATTCCATGGCACAAGTCTGGGAAAATGTATCCCTATTTTAATATATGCACCTTGAAGCATTTCTATATATTGCATTTGTAGCTCTGACTGTTATCTTGTACTGTCATTAGGTACTGGTTTTTATATACTGGTCTTGAACTGAAAATCTTAAAATTTCTGCTGCAGTATAGCTTGGCTCAAATATTTCTTCAGCATCCTTTTCTTATTCCTGTGCCATTAGTGGTCCATTGTATTAAGAAACTCATTGCGATTGCAGTTAACTTAGCACCAGGATGCCACTAATTGACCAATGTAATGTACAAAACTGGTTTTTCACAGCTCAGGGAAACGAATCATTACTTTTGTCTTGTCACTAAAACATTGACTTGACTTGCTTAATTTTAAAATTATCATTATAAAATGAAGATGAACTAACAGTGCACATTTCTAGTTGGAATAAATTAGTCTTTAATAGGTCTCTGAGTTTAGTTTCCCTTGTCATGTTGTATGGAAGATCCGGCATTTCAAAGCAAATGTTGAAATTTGCAGCTACTCATAAGTGATCTGTGTCTTAGTTCGTTGGAATTAACAGATATACATGGAGACACTAATCTTCATTCTGGAAGCTATGGGGTTCTATTTGCATTTTAATTTTTTTCTTATATTACTGTTTTTAAGGAATTGGTGAAAACCCACAGAAGTCTAATGCAGGATATTTTTGACTCCATTGTAAACAAAAATGACCAGAACCTGTATCAAATTTTTATTAACTACAAGGAAAGGTAATATTTATACACTAACTTTTACATACTTTAGTGATAACCTACACTCAGTCCATTGAAGTGTTTCTCTATGATTAAATACTCCATAAGTATTTATATAATTGAACTGGATATCCATGGGTAACAGCATCAGTATATGTAATGGGCTTTGAATGTGGAAAGTACCAAGGAAGTGCTATTATTATTTTATAGAATGGATTGTTCATTTTCCTCCAAGTGTTTTTGTCACTGCTTTTTCATTTAAAAATAGCATCCATATTTTATATGAAATCATATAACTTATTTTGCACAGCTTCTGGCATAAAAACTATCTTCGAATGCTTTATAGAGATAAACAATACAGGTACAGAGATAAAATAATCAGAGCTGGGGAGAGAAATAAAATAAGGCAGAAAGATACAGGCAAGGCATTCCAGACGGCAGAAAGGAGGACAGAAAGAAGGATAAAACAGGCTGAGGAGAAGAGAGGAGAGTCTGAGGGGATCCATAGAAGGTGTTAATGAAGTCACTTCTGAACTGGAAATTGAAATAATTGGGGAGCCAACTGAGTTGTTTGAGAAGTGATGCAGTCACACTATGCTTGTGAGAGAGCAGGTATAAGCTAACAGAAAACGCCTGAATCTGGAAAGCTGGATTTTGGGGAGATGATGGGAAAGGAAGTTGCCATAATCACATTGAGTGGTAATGAAGCCATATATGAAGGTTTCAGTAGAGGAGGAGCTTATGGCAGTGGTATGTGTGTGTGGGTAGATGGTGACAGACTGAGGGAAAGGGTGATTATTGGAAGGATATGGGCAGTGAAGGCAAATGGCAGGTCTGAGTGTAGAGGGGAACTACAGGAGCAGGAGTTGGGTCTCAGGATGCTCCTTTTCTCCAAAAGAAGCAATGTAACTTAAGGAAGCTGAGAGGAAACTACAAGTTTATTTTGTCAAGGGAGGAGAGATACTGGGTCTAGCTCTATTTGTACTGCAGTATAGGTTTAAAATAATAATTAAAGGTGAAAGATGTGCAGTTAGTATCATCACTTTTGAAGTGGAAGCTAAGGCTAAACAGAAGATGATCAAGAGGGAAAAAAAGATTAAAAATAGAAGGCAAGAACTGAGGCTTGTAGATCCCCAAAGATGGAGCTTGCAGTTTAAAGAGGAATCACCTCTAAAGATTTAGAACAGTTTGAGAAGAGTGGAATGAATTGTTGCTGAAGGGAACAGGAAGTTCCTGGTACAAACCTGGATTCTTTTCAGTAGCTTTACAAAAATCAAACAGTGGCTACCATGCTGATCTCTGACTGCTGTTAAGAATTTCTTGCATTTACATATGTTAGCTATTATCTTGACCCAAAGCCTCATGGAATGTAAACTCAATAGAAGCTGTTAAATCAGTTTGCAAAACCTACTGTTGCCGTAAAAAGAGTGGATGTAATTAATCCTGGGCTAATCCTATGTAACAGAATTTATTCATTGCATCCTTTGAAATCTATCTCTTAACATTGTAAATACTAATGGCTCTGGTGCTGTTAAGGAGCAGTTACATTGCTTTGCAGCCTGAAACAAATGCTTTATTGTGTCAGTGTATGCATGTCAGTGTTAAAGTGAATTGAACAGGAGTACTTGTGGCACCTTAGAGACTAACAAATTTATTAGAG